CTAAGCGGTTTAAATATTGTAAGAAGTCCCTATGTTTGACATTTTTTCAGCCTAATGGACTCGTTTTAGACTGGTTTGGTATTCGTAAACGCAATTCAGAACCAGACCCGGCTGGATCGACCGAGCTATCTGACTCACCGCATCATCTGCACCGTCACCCTCGGCTACACAATCAACTGTGCCAACTGTGCCACACTCACTGGACCGTTACCTGTCCGCATTTCCTGGGATCTTACGGCGCACTTCCAGGGGACTGCTGCCAGGTGATTTTCCCCAGGTCAGCCCGCGCCACCTTATACAGGCCAATGCCGTCACTGGTGACCGGTCACTATCGCCCTCCACTCCTCCCCCCCCCTTCACCCGCCGCTGGTTTGTTCATGAAGTACCCCACCAGTGAATGAATGGCACCAATGCCCGTGGGGGTCGAAACTGCCTTGATAGAAACATGGAGCAATAGAACCATAATCACGTTAACATTCTAGTCAAAGATTCTACGTTCCAAATCTCGCAGACAGCGTTATCAGTAGTTCAGCGTCGTACACTGCAATCCCTGACTGGGAGCTGGCGGCACTGGAGTGGTTCTCAAAGCGCATCATTTGTACTTGGTTTCAGCTTACGGTCGGGCTGTGCCACGGGTCGATCACCGTGTAGGGGGTTCAGCTTGAGCTGGTGCCGTGTAGGGGGTTCAGCTTGAGCTGGGGCCGTGTAGGGGGTTCGGCTTGAGCTGGTGCCGTGTCGAGGGCTCGGATCGAGCTGGTGCCGTGTAGAGGGTTCGGCTTGAGCTGGTGTCGTGTAGGGGGTTCGGCTTGAGCTGGTGCCGTGTCGAGGGCTCGGATCGAGCTGGTGCCGTGTCGAGGGCTCGGATCGAGCTGGTGCCGTGTAGAGGGTTAAGCTCGAGCTGGTGCCGTGTAGGGAGTTCGGCTTGAGCTGGTGCCGTGTCGAGGGCTCAGATCGAGCTGGTGCCGCGTCGAGGGCTCGGATCGAGCTGGTGCCGTGTCGAGGGCTCGGATCGAGCTGGTGCCGTGTAGAGGGTCAGCTTGAGCTGGTGCCGTGTAGGGAGTTCGGCTTGAGCTGGTGCCGTGTCGAGGGCTCGGATCGAGCTGGTGCCGTGTCGAGGGCTCGGATCGAGCTGGTGCCGTGTCGAGGGCTCGGATCGAGCTGGTGCCGTGTCGAGGGCTCGGATCGAGCTGGTGCCGTGTAGAGGGTTCGGCTTGAGCTGGTGCCGTGTAGGGGGTTCGGCTTGAGCTGGTGCCGTGTCGAGGGCTCGGATCGAGCTGGTGCCGTGTCGAGGGCTCGGATCGAGCTGGTGCCGTGTAGAGGGCTCGGATCGAGCTGGTGCCGTGTCGAGGGCTCGGATCGAGCTGGTGCCGTGTAGAGGGCTCGGATCGAGCTGGTGCCGTGTAGAGGGTTCGGATCGAGCTGGTGCCGTGTAGAGGGCTCGGATCGAGCTGGTGCCGTGTCGAGGGCTCGGATCGAGCTGGTGTCGTGTAGAGGGCTCGGCTTGAGCTGGTGCCGTGTAGAGGGCTCGGATCGAGCTGGTGCCGTGTAGAGGGCTCGGATCGAGCTGGTGCCGTGCCAGACTAACGTGTGAGGACCGCACTGTGGCTTTCCTCGGCTGCATTGGATCAAAGGGCCGCTACAATACCAGAGTTTATTTTAAGGTTGAGGCAGTACCATAGGAACATTTCTAATCTGTTTGTCAGTTTGGCACTGTTGGGCAAAGCAAACAATCAGTGTTTACGACCAGCACTGTATGCCAGTATTGTAGCACTGCGTATGACTGAACATCACTTTAATCGTCCATCTATTACGTCATTACTTTGTACAACTGCCAACCCTCCGCCTCCCCTGGCTTCGCACTGGTTACGCTGGACGGAACCCCCTGGTTACGCTAGGCGGAATCCCCCGGCCCCTAGTTACGGTATATTAAATGTTCCGATGTCGTATGTATTAAATGCATTGTATTATGCTGCATCATGTTTCGTTGCATGATTTCACATGCATTAAATGCCCTGGTGATCTGCCAATTACAATTGTTTATGCCTGGCGGCTAAGATGAAATCGGCATAAAAACAAAAACGTGCAAGCTGCCCGCGCAATACGTATTGAACACCGGGCTGCCTTCTTACCAGCAACAAGTGGACTATTAATGGTAGGTGCGCATATTCACGAGCCGATCAGGTGGAATTCAATGGCAAGGAGGAGCATGTGCTTTGCGAGCTCACTTCAAACAAAGTCGTTAAAATTCAGTCGGCGTGGTAGTGAATACGCCTACTAAAGAGCACAGGTACTAGGAAGGAGGATGAGCCCCCGCATTACTTTTCACCTGCGCCTATGCGGCGGCCGGCTGGCGTCCTACGCTGAGCACTGATGTTGATTGTTTTTTACAGGGTGAAGTAGCGGCGCTATGGGGAACTGTAATTAATACAGAAAGCCCGTCTTTATTATGCGGCACCGATGTCGCCGCGGAAAACCGAACAAGTGGCAACGGACGCCAAAACACAGCGAGCCATGAACCAGGCTCACAAAGAGGCGCGGGTCGCCCATTTTTTTAGGCCCCTTTTTCCCTTGTCCCTTTGCTGTCTCTTGACCCTTCGCTCCTTTGTTTGAACGTGATGCACAAACAAACTAATCTCAGAGCTAGAGTTAATGCAATTGTTGAAGCGCACTGCCAGTTTTATGAAACACACATAAATTCAACAGTTATTCAACAGTTATATAGTCAACGTTGTTAAACAACGGACTCGCCACGCTCACCACACACTTGCACCACCGGCGGCGGCATAACCACGGAGTGTAAGGCCGTGTAAGATCAAAATGCATTGTAATGTCTGCCGCGTACATCATCGTACAGCCGCTAAATTTTATGCAACAAGCTCGCTGGTGACGTACATCTACTAACAAGTCACGTACGCTACTGACAATTGTTTTTCTTATCGGAACGAAGACAGCCCGACGTCCCTGCCGCCTTATGGCAGATAAGTTTCGCGTGTACATGTTCACCTCTCAGGCTGTTGGATTTTGATGGTTTGCCGCACGGGTTTACAAAGCACAGTATCATGTTCGACATAAAGGTCTACGAAGCCGGCTCGCTGGTCACGTGCACCTCCCGGTGACGGATTTTGCGTTATCTGTACGAATATTTTGATGCTCCGGTTGCCCGCAAAACGCCCGGCACCTAGCGGCCCAGCGCGCATTAAAATCTCAGCACCAGTGACGTCACGCTAACGTCGGGAGAAGGTGAAGCGAAAATCACCGGGATGTTTCACCTCTCTTACGCGGCCTTGCTTCCGCCATGTGAACGCAATATATTGACGGCCATCCAGCGTGGTGAGACGGCCTTAAGCGTCTCGCCACTTCAAATTGGTATAATGGAACACACTTCACATACTCGGAAGTCGGTGCTCAATCACATTCACACTCTACAAAACCAGATACATTTTAAGGGGAAGAAAATAAAAGTAAAAGACTAAAGAAATTTACTCGAATGCTCTTTAAATGATAGGTAATGCTTGGCTGAAGGTTAATATTTCTCTCTGGAATGTTCCACTTAGTCATTTCAATGGTGTACCTACATACCCCTTAACCGCCCTTCATTCGCTATGAGTTCTCATTCTGCCATCCGAAAATAAAGCCAGTACGCGACATTACACGAAGAACGTCATTTGATGCAAGGAATGCAAGCCACACGACCAGAACACTCCGACGTTTAGAATGAATGCTTTGAGATCATGCTTAATTCTTTTCGTTGTTTTGAAACATAACGCAAAGCTAACTGATAATTACGAATTATTCATCACGCGCAGCTGTTGCCACGCCGAGTTCTAACGGTGAGATGCATTGAGGCTAGAGTGAACGATACGGATGCATTCTAGATAGCTATCTACCCCTTCTTTAATGTTATGCAGAACTACGCAGTCCCGACCTGGTTGGACTAAAAGTGAACTCTCCGTTTCAACCTAACTCGAAATTTCTGTGTGTGACCAAAAAATGCAATTGTCAATACTGTCTGCCAGCCAAGTCCAAGCAAATGGAAAAGAGTCTGACAGTTGTCATGACAACACAGAAAAAGAGATACAGCAGCAAGCCTGGTGCGACGGCAAACCCCACATGCCGATGCAATTCCTAGAAATGAGCTATAAAAGTCTGCTTGCGTCGCAGTGTATTGGAGGTCAGAATCCCGGTAGTTCCTCCTGCATCTGCCCGTGGCAACGCGCCCAGATTTCGTCGCATGCACTGCAGTGCGCTGGTATTTTTCCTACCATATGACAAATATGTTTAAGCAAGCAGTGTCAAAACTGCAGATAGGGTGTGGCCGGGGCACCGGGCGAGAGGCGAAGCTACAAAATTGCTGCATTGTGTTTTACCGACGTTTGAAAACCTGAGAGAAAGCCATTACAAGCGACTCACAGCCGTGGCAGGACGTCAATGAGTGGATCACTGTGGAACGGGCACAGACGGGAACTCTCCGCAAGGGACAAATGCAGTCCCAGGAAAAGGGTACATTCCACAAGACCGGCAATCTGTCAGGCGTAGCGGTGTGTTCAAAAACAAGAGCCAGATCCGAGAGGCGTCAAATGGACTGAAATGCTGTCTCCCCAGTACCCTAATGCCACTCGCTAAACGGTGCACCAACCCTCGTGACGTAGCCGTCCATAACAAACATGCTTGTTTCAATAGTAAACAAAACCAAACGAGACCGTAATAATCATGTGGTGTGTTGACGTTTGGCTAGGACAAGACGGGATAACCAACAAGGTATTGCGCGCGTGATCCATCTATGTACAGGGAGCGGGAGAAATAATGTTAACGTCGCGTTTTGCCAGGCATGTAATGTGGTGGTTGCGTGCGTGAAACTGAGGGGCGAATTTGGTGGAAAGCTGCGGAACGTGAACCACGGTTTTAAAATACGGAAGCATGCATGCAATGCAATCGCCAACTGCACTAAACCCAATTTGGTTGACTCGGTACCTCACGTCTCGATCCGTTTCTTCACGAAGAATCCTTCAAAGGAGGGTGTATATTTCTGTATAAATGTTTTCAAACACTGATTCAGGTCATCGCGTCCAGAGATGTTTGTCAGTGATCTGACATCAGCAACCGGTCTCCGCGCTAGCTGTTAGAATCAGTGTTTAGGCCGTGAGCAGGTTGTTATGCTCAGTGCGTGGCAACTGACACAAGCATTAACAGAGCGGTGAATGACTAACCGACGTGAACACCGGGCTTCACCAGGGGGTTCAGGCCGTTTCAGGGGCCGTCACCTGAGCAGTTTCAGCTAGCTCGACTTCTCCGCCCAGTGACTGACAGACCTTTGCCATGCAAGTCCATGCTCCTTGGCATTTACGATTAAAGTTAAAAAGGTCGCTAAAATGTACCCATTCCCATATCAAGTTGTTCACGCTTTTTTCAAACCACTTCATCCCCGAGTGTTTGCCACCCCCTTTCTCTCCCCCTCCAGGTAATCTGCTTGTGGGGTAGCGTGCGCGTGCGCGATTGGGAACACAGCGCGCCTGAGATCGTGACACCTGAGTTTAAAAAAACACACGCGTTACGTGACTATTTCTCTGGGTCCATCACGACGGCGCTGCGAGAGTTGCATCTCTGATAGCCGTACAACAGCTTCAAGCGTCGATGGCGAATCACAAGATCTTGAAGTCGATGACGAATAGAAATGTCTTTACGTCGGCACATCAGACGGTGAAGCACGCATGTTGCGTCTGCCCGTCATGACGCGGCACCTGCCACACGGCATCTGCCATGGTACGAAACCTGTCCTACGGCATCTGTCACCTGTCACACGGCACCCGTCACGGCACGGCACCTGCCACACGGAATTTGTCATGGTACGACACCTGCCCTACGGCACGCCTGTCCTGCGGCACTTGTCACGGCACGGCACCTGTCACACGGCATCTGTCACGGCACGGAACCTGTCACACGGCATCTGTCACGGCACGGCACATGCGCTACAGCACTTGTCACGGCACGGCACCTGTCACATGGCATCTGTCACGGCACGGAACCTGTCACACGGCATCTGTCACGGCACGGCACATGTGCTGCAGCACTTGTCACGGCACGGCACCTGTCACATGGCATCTGTCACGGCACGGCACCTGTCACATGGCTCTGTCACGGCACGGCACCTGTCACATGGCATCTGTCACGGCACGCCTGTCACTGACCCGAATCGGCGTAAGTAGTTCCAGGCGCGGTCGAGGTTGCCGCCCAGACAGCCGTCGTCGCGCACGTAGCCGCAGTCGATGACGTTCTGTTCGCTGAAGTCGAGCCGCCGACGGCCCGGAATTCTGGATGGCCAGCCGGTCTGCGGCCGTGGTGGCCGTGGAGAAGGCCCACGAGGCGCCGCACCAGCCCTGGTCCTCCACCGGCCCGATCAGGCCTCGCCACTCGCGCTTCGTGCGGGCATCGAACGAGCGCGGCAACAGGCTCGGGTCGAACACCTTCGTGATGGGGTACATCTGGTTGATCTGCGACAGGAAAAGGAGACAGCTGAAGCTGAACACCCAGTGTATGCATTATATGCGCCGTCGATATTTGCAGAAAGACAATGCGTGCGTAGAACGCATAAATTATAAACAAGCAGATGTGCGGTATCTACAGCAAGCAGCGGGATGGATGGGTTGCCATTAAGACAGGCTTGTAGCATTAAGCACAATAGTACTGCGATAGGGATATCTGGGACCCACAGCTTAATATCTGCTCCGAGGAACACGCGTCCCAAATTGATAAATTAACCAGTCATTAGTACATTTTGCACAATATGGATGAACGATTACGGGTTTAAAGACATTCTCCTGAAGACATATGACAGACCGGCATTCTCCCGCGGACGGAAGTGGAGAAACGTCAGCACCCGGCCACTCACCATGTCGTGGGGGTAACGGGTACCGAGCAGATACTGGAGGCCGCTGTTGAGCTTCTTTCCCCAAAACTGAGAGTAGTTGCTGGCCCTCCAGCCGTAGGCGTCCTGGCTGTTGATGTCGCCGATCAGCTCCGGCTGCACTAGGCACTTGCTGGTGTCGCACATCAGCTCGGCGAGCGTGTCGCTGACCTTCACGCACTTGCTGCGCGCAGCACATTTAGCAGCACGTTAGAAACACGGCAGGAATGTAAGGAATGCACGAATCTTTCGCTGGGTACAAGGGTCCTATAGGTGTTCTAAAATTTGGACCCAAGCATGTTTACAAATATGTTAACCAACGGTCGTTGCTCTGGTTTTACAAGCTGCCATGTTTTCATCAAAGATCATCATTCGGGGCCCACTGACGATTTGCCGGCACCTTTCCAATGATGCGAAAACAGTCATCAGTTTTGGGCGCGCTAATGAAAATTATTTATGCTCTATCTATAAACTAATTGTTTATGCTCGTTCCCACTCATTACTGCTAGATTTGAGCGCGTGTATTCCTGGATGTTGCTTAGGGAGACATGACAGGCTAAGATTATTCGTGAACTCACCAAATATTGCAGTTCTCTTCAACGCTCTGTTCGGGCAGAAGTTTTCTTCCTCTGTGATTGCATCCAGCTAAAAAGGGACGCGATAGCGTACTGTTAAGCGATAGGAAAAGGTAATTTAACCTCTTCGCCCCTAATTAACCCCTTCTTTGTTTCGACACCGTGCGCTTTAAAACAACGTCCCAATGGTCAAAATGTCACCACCCAAAATATAACCTGCGATGAGGCAATCTAACGGTTCTCATATAAAAAGCATGCGTCATCAGTCTGTAGCATGCTACAGAAGAGGAAGGAATGCACATCAGTTTACCAATAAAATAATAAAAAACGCCGCCTCAGCGGTCGGCACACAATTGGTGACCTCAGTTGGCAAGGACAGTGCCATTGCCTGTCTTCATGACGGTGGAAGCCGCAGCCAAGCGTACCAGGGCAGGCCTCAGAATCCGTCCCAGTGACGTCACGTACCGATCACGGGATCGGGTCCCTTCTCGCCCAGGCAGTAGGAGAAGTAATCTGGACAACAGTCGCCAGAGGCGCCACGGTCGCAGAATTCATCGCAGTAGCAGAGGGTGTCCAGGATTGGACTGCTGCAGTCGTCCAGTCGGTCCGGACAGCAGTTCCCTGCAAGGCACGATGCAAGGTACACAGGTCACCACATCAGGGGTCAGAGTCTCCTCTGTGATCGCCGGGTCTCAGCTTTAATCAGGTTAATGCCACCGCGTAGGTTTAAAGGTGCTGATGTCAAGTTCGACGCATTGGCGATCAGGGTCGTCAGACCAGAACTCTGCCACGTCACAAAGGTCACAAGATCGGAGGTGTGCATATGTCAAGGTTACCAAGTCAAAGGTGCATGGCTCATGGACACCACTCGTCAGAACAAAGGTGATAATGCCTTACACAAAAGTTTTATTGGTCAAGGACACCGGGCCAAAGTGATGACGTTGAAAATGTGAATACTCTAGCGCCAATCACTGACCATGCGCCATACAGCGTTCTACGTCAGGCGCATGCATTCACGCATGAACTGATATTGCGACAAGGCGAGTGTCGCACCAACATACCAACTTCAAAGTTCATGTGACGCAACTACGATGCCTAAAACCAACCAACTCGGCCAAGTTTATGTAGTCCGCCGATCATCACGAATTCAGGTGGGGATGAACTCAATGCAAATTAAATGGTACAAGTGGCAGAGAGCGAATGATGCTACAATTTTTGACTCGAAAAATTCTGAATTGTTGATAAAGGACACTGAATTATCCTGAAATGCCCCATCGCAACGTTCAGAAAGCTCTGTTCACAATCGCCGTGCCTGAATTATCATCAGTCTGAGACCCCTTAACAAGAAGACGTATCTGACAGGCTCAAGTCCTGGGACTTTTCAAATTTTACGAGGTCTTAACGAGGCCCGTCAATTCTGTTTCTGCATGTTTTTAAGATCTCAAGACGTCTTGGCCGTTTCAAAAACTTGGTATATTTCGCATAGCTAAGGCAGAAGTATTAGTCTCATTCCTCGGAGGAAAACCAGGAGAATGGCGATATAGTTGGGCTGATATTTCGGCAACATGCCTTTAAAGAAACAATAGCAAAAAGTGAATTCAAAATTGCCTACCGATCATTCTACTCGATTTTTCAGGTTTTTTAAACAGCAAGCCACAGTTTTTATACAGGACACCAACATTCAGGGGATTAAACAAAGAGCGATTACCAACCATTACCACGCGATACAGTGCCTATCTAACAATTAGAATGTACGAACATACGTGTACATGCAAACGAATTCAAGCAAATAGGTATCACTCCTCACGCTTCATCGATATATTTCGGATCATGTCTCGTGGTCTTCGACCGTCCCAGGCCCCTCGACATTTTGCAGCCTCCCATGGCTTATGTGGGTTGATTGATTGACGCCAATGAACCTCTTTCCCGCGCAGATATATTTTTGCTGCTTCCAACCTCGCAGCGACCTTTTATGTGCGCTATATCGTGTGGTACGATAACGCACACAAAACAGACAATTTTTGTCAGCCACTGCCACCTCGAAAATTGCTAGTTGGATTTCTACCGGAAAACGGCAAGCGATTCGTCATAACGTGGTCTTAATGCACTTGAAAATATTTGTTTAAACTCTTTCAGACACGTCTATCAGAGGCGCACCCAGCATATAAAAACAGGAAACGGAGAAGTCTGTGATGTTAAAGGGGAAGAACATCGTTCGACCAATGAACGTGCCGAATGTGCACGGACAGCGCAAGTCGTGTGATAAGGAGCTCGACATAACCACAATGCGATGCTCAAACTGCACTCATTGATATCTCACACTGTTGTACAACCCTCTTTTTTTATGCATGTGCCACGGAACTAGCTGTAAACTACCTATCTTGTAACCCGGCCGCCTCTGGGATCGGGAGAATCATGGAGCACCAGATGTTCAGTGGTTCGAGGCAGTGCACGGAGAGGCACAGTTAAATGTTCCACCTTAGCTTGGGATTTTAGCTGACATGACCAGTTTGGAGACCATGAGTGCATTTTACATTCCTGCCTTCTTAAGACTGAAAACCCTCTGGTTTCTGAGCTTGTCGCCTGCGAACTTGTGTAGACTTTTCAAGGTCACACAGACATGCACGACAACATACAGGCGTCACGCTAATACTGCAACTCATTGGCCATGTGGTGCTCAAGGTCAGAAAAAACAAGATCTGTCCGTCTCTGACATTCATCGGCACGATATCTAGCATCCACAGAGTACCATTGACCCTTAACCAGTTCACTGCATTCCGAGTTTCGAACGCGGCTCACGGGTTGCGCTATACAATAGCACCATAACCAATATGTGAATGCAAGTGAACATTTCAGATATCACTGACCAATCTGCACGAACACCACGATAGAGGGCCAAAGCGGAGCAATATATTTGGTTCAACAAACACCTACAGCGCCACCACGGCCACCTCTCGGGAGATGTAAGTACCACAAGTGAGTCAGTGCACCGGCTGCAGTGATAATTCTAACACGGCCAGTCTGGCAACAACATTACGTCATGCAGACGTTTCATGACGTAATCAGTTACTGATGTATTAAGCAGCACACTTACGACGTAGTGAACTTTTGTGGTCTGAACAGTCTTTAACACTAACAACAACAAAACACAAATAAAAGTGAGCTCATTTCCTCATCTAAGTGCTTTCCTCAGTACTTTTAAATGTGGAACAACTCCTTTGAGAGCCCTGCAATCAGCACTAAACTCCGAGGTGGCAATGGGACGCAAATAGCCAGCGGCGAAGCGGCACTGTTTCAGGCCCGAGTGTTGAACACCAGGGGGACGTACTGAAATGCAGCAGCGGGCTCAGAACAGGGATTATCTGCATACAAGGTATAGGAGGCACTGTTGCCATTTTTGGAAAGATTGGTAATCCGGCGTGGTCATTTAGGACCAAGTGAAACGTCAATTTTTTAAAACTTTTCTGAACGATTTCAGCTACTGTACCCTAAACAAGTAGCGTAGACACCAAGACAGTTCGCATACCTTGTTAGAAAAGAACAGGAATATGTGATATTTACCCCAAATTGATGTGATGGGGAAGGGCAAGAGATTCATACGTTGCGTTATAAACGCATAAATACATGTAAATGGTGAATGTAATTTTCACGAAAGCAAATTCATGCATCCATGTACAAAACCATGTAATTTTACATACCATGTAAAATTACATGGTATGCGTCTCTGACACAAAATACAGTTACTAACGTTCTGGGGAGACATCGGTTCTTGGACGGAAGTTATACATATATATGTATATGTATATATATATATATATATATATATATATATATATATATATCCGAATGGGCTGAGCGAGCTCCCCCTCCCCATTTTCCAAGGTGATCCCGCTCTCCCGTTAAGGTTGCTGCCTGCCACACCAAAATGCAAAACAATTATTCGTACCTGGTAATACGTCCGTCGTGTCGTATATCATGAGCTTTTACAAACCAATTGCAGCGAATATATTTTATTGTCAGCCCTCAGGACCCAAAGCTACTCTCCAACAGATCGCGCGACTTGCCAAGGAAATCATGCCTAAGAAATGCTTAACACGCTTGCTTAAACCATGCTTGAATATGCTCAACCGTTTGGATTGGCATGTAGCCCAGTAAACCGGAATTTACTTTGGAACGAGGACACAAACATCAACAGTGTGGTACGGAGCCCACAGCTAGTTTTCACACGTTTGTTATGAACTGAGATCCACCGGTAAGGTCGCCAGGCGAAGTGCAGCGCTGTTTGGAGTGCTCACTTCGCAAGCGAAGTGCTGTTTGGAGTGCTCACCTGGCTGCGTCCCTCTCAGCCTCTCGCAGTATGGCCTCTGCGCAGGTCACTGTAGTCGGGCCGATAAGGGGCCTGGCCGAGAGTTGACCCGATGGCCAGGGTCAGTACCAAAAGGTACATCATGACTAGCTGTGTCCTGAAAAGGAAAACCATGAATGATTATCCGAATTCTCGGCAGGATCAGGAATCGCCCGTATCCAAAAAGCAGATATTTGCATTCTTGAAAATGAGGCAAAGACATGGTTTTTTTAATAACTGAACGTGCAGGGTCCAAAGAACTGATATGTGACTGAGTTGCGAACGCATTCGGAGCGTGGGAAACGAGCGATGCTGATAACACATATACACATGTCTTCATATTGCGTTGATTTAGACTCTTCTTTTTGTCATACGTCAACGGGTCATGGCCCCAGAGATCATAAAACTATGCCTTAGTCACCCAAAACTTCCGGACGTTTGCTGTTAAGTGCATGCATCGTCACATTTCCACCAATTAATTGCGTACGTTTCTCGTTTCGCTTCTGTTGGGGCTGGAGTGCTCACCATCATTCTGTTGGGTTTGGAATGCACATGATGAAAAGCAGTTACCATATAGGTAAATGTATATACATATATATATATAATATATGTCGTATAGAATATCTAGGTCGTATGTTATGAGAATGTTTGTATGTGGGTGTGAGAGCGCTCGTTGTTTTAAATGATGTTCTACAAGAACGGTGTAGCCCACCCAACGCCAAAAACGTCAAGATCCGTCCCCGCATGCATCCTCCAAGCTTGGAGCAGTGCGCAAAAGCAGGCTGGAGTTCTTCCGCTATTATCGAGGTAAAATTGAATAGCACGATTGCCAGCAACGGCACATTTGCGCGGTCGTGCGGTTCATAATCTGAAAATGCATTTTTGTCACAAGTAGAAGTTGTATCAAAGAAGTGACGCCTTTTTGTGTTGTTGGGGTAGGCCGCCTTGCACATCATGAAAAGCGGTTACCATGACTATTGCCGGGCATAAAGTAGAAATCATGCCAGAAATACAAGATCAGGAAGACCACGTAAATACTGGGTGCAGCAGTGACTACGTCACGTCATGCAGATGCTGATGTAAGAAATATCTGCCTTCTTGTGGTGCTTTTCCACAAATGCATAGATATCAAACACCGTTAAATTAGAACAACTAAAATGTGCCCGGTAGGAACGGCAACACGACTAAGTCAAACCCATATGTGCAGGTGTCTCAGGCCTACGTTACCGTAAAATGTTCGATAGTGACTCAGTGCAGATGTCAGGTGATAAAGGGTGTGGTTCATTTAAGAGAATCATTAGTTTTATCGGATGCTATTTGACTTAATCAGTATGACTTATCAGTAGAGAGAGACACTGAACAATGGGGTCGAACTTTTGACGGCAGTCTTCAGTGCTCATTGATTAATTCAGACCTTTGTCTTAGTCATTTAAGTCGAACCATCAGGCCATTTCTGGCGTAGCATGTGTTCGAGTTGCATAAATGAGGCAAGGGTCCCAAGGTCCGTACGATGCAGGGACCCAAAGGTTTGTGCGTATGCATGCGTTCGAAGGTCAGCACGATGTAGGGGTCCAAGGTCCATACAATGCATGTGTTTCAAGGTCAGTACATTGCTGGGTCTGAAGGTCCATACGATGCATGGGTTCCAAGGTCAGTACGCGGCAGGGGTCCCAAGGTCCGTGCGATGCGTACATTAAAAGGCCCGGGCGATGCATGTGTCATTAAGTTCCAGCGGATGCATGGGTCCCAAGATCTAGGACGATGTATGAATGGCTACGAGTCCTGCTGTACTCGTTATCTGTCCCAAAATCCGAGCTGGACAAATTCTTGGTAAATTATGATTCTGACCTAAAATCGGATAGCTGGAGCCGGAACAAGTCTGGTCAAGTGACGGTTGTATCACATAGTTTGCAAGCTCTGCTGCCGATCGGAAGTCTCAGGTCAGCGGTAGTTTTCAAAAAATCCCGCCTATTGTAACCTACACTTTAACCAGCTTTACTGTCCTGCATGCGCTGAGCGTTACAATAGTTGTGACAATGCGAGAAACACGCATGCAGCGACTCATATTGGCCAGGTGTAAAATTCCGTTCATTCGCGGTCGGTGGGCCGAACATCCTGACGTCCACAACCTCCTGACAGATCTCCAGAGAGGCAAGACATGAAGCCGGGATAAGGACACCCAGGCCTGCCTGTTTTCCCTTTGCTCGTTCACAGTTTGCCGGGGACCTCCTTTACGACTGTCTTTTGTAG